TCCTACTCGTGAAGCAAATTCTACTCTACATTGTACTTTCAATGTTATTATGTAAGAATTACGGATCACCTTGCAATGTAGAGTAGAATTTGCGTCACGAGTAGGATTTTCATTTTGTATTTTCGTTGGTCGTTCGGAATCCTACTTAACCTTGTTTTTTTTAATTTTTTATGTTCTTGTTTGTGTTGATTTTTTTATGATATTTATAATATTTCTTTAGTTGCCATTGTGATGCTTGTTGATTTTACACAAACAATAATTTTCTTTATTATTATTATCATTGTTATGACTTTACATCATTTATGAGAGACAGCATTGAATAGACATGCTGAAGGAATATCAACTATCCTGATGACAAGTGAAATTAATACTAGTCTTGACACAAGTCCTTGTTCAAGAAGCTGTGAGCTGAGAAAGTCCATCTTCCCTGCATGTTATGTTGCAGCTATTCCTGTTCTTCCAGGCTGTTGTCATTCATATTATCATTGCATATCATACATTAATTAATTGTTTGTTTTTTTAAATAAAATAAAATCACACACTTGATAAAACAGTAACATGTAAGATTAATACCTTCTTTTAGCTGGAAACCTCCAGTAAAGTATTGCAGTAGTTGATTCCAAGCATAGCTTGGTAAAAAAACAATTTGCTTCTTCCAGAGCTGCAGATCCTAATTTGGCAGATCTGAGCATGCGCGACCACACCCAAATTTTGGAGCACATGCTTCTTTAATTAACAAAATGGCTGCATGCAGCTAAGATGGCTCTATCCAGCAGTCACAGTATCACTTTTTCTTTACTTGAAGAATGATATGATGGGACATGGACCTGCGCATAGACTTTTGGAGTAGATTGGTGTAAGAATTATCCTTGTAGCACCAACCAATACTGAGATACACACCGACAACTGGATTGACAGGACTTGATGATGATGAAGAAGATGATGAAGATGAAAAAAGGTGGCTGAACAAAACGGCCGGTTCGCTGATTTTTGAATTTCCTCTTAGACAGGGCCTAGAGCCACGCTAGTTGTACCATTGGAGTCCTCTGGTCAAGATGAGGTCCTCTATAAAGTCTGGTAAGCATAGGAGCTCGTTTTCCCGGTATAGCAAGGCTGCAAAAGTCGTGGCAGCCATTTTGTTTGGGGGTGAATCCTACTTAGTAACGCTACCGCGTTACTAATAGTACAGGGAATAAGGCCAGATTTTGGAGCAACTTTAAAAAATCATTAAAAAATCCAATTTTGATTAGAATCCACTTAAACTTTCTACAAAACATAACATATATATGCATCACAAAAAATTATTGAAATGGAGAATTCTCTCCTAGTCATTTTTGGCAAAATTTGGTCAAAGGTGCAGGGACTTTGGCCTGATTTTGGAGCAAATTTTTGATAGCATAAAATCCAATTTTGATCAAAATCAATTCAAATTTCATACACAAATAAGAACAAACATCATGTATACCAAGTATTTTCTAGACATTATATAAAATACCATGCACTATAGTACATATATCCATGGTCTTTAGCAAAATTTTTCCATTAGCATCATCTCCCCCTCCTCTCCTTTCATTACTAACCTCAGGTTCCTTCCACAGTGAGTGCCCCCTCTCAATATAAAGCATTATTAATAGCTTCAATGGATCAGGATCCCTAATGAGGTAGGATAGACACTCCAACAGTTAACAAAGAAAGTCATACTTTCTTGCTGATGTGAAGTAGGCATGATTTCGAGCAGAAGGATCAATATGTACTCCACACTTATCCAAGAGTGGCACCAATAGCTACAAACATACAAAATACATGTACCATAGTATGTGTACATATATGCATACACAGGAGCCATCTGCTGATTATAACACACTTCGCTATATGCACTTGCTTCCTAAACCTCAACCATAAATGGCTAAACACCCTTTGGTTGTTTTCAAAAATTGGCTCATTTAG